TCATGCCTGTAATCCCAGCATTTGGGGAGGCCAAGGAGGATCACTTGAGCCCAAGAATTCAACACCAGCCTGGGCAACAGAGTGAGACCCCCACTTCCCTACACAAAATATTTTTTGAGACAAGGTCTCACTCTGTTGCCCAGGCTGGAGTGCAGTGGTGCGATCTTGGCTTACTGCAACCTCCGTCTCTCCAGCTCAAGAGATTCTTCTGCCTCAGCCTCCTGGGTAGCTGGGATTACAGGTGCCCACCACTACTGCCTGGCTAATTTTTGTATTTTTAGTAGAGACAGGGTTTCTCCATGTTGGCCAGGCTGGTCTCAAACTCCTGACATCAAGTGATCCACCGGCCTTGGCCTCCCAAAGTGCGGGGATTACAGGCATGAGCCGCTGCACTCGGCCCCCAAAAAATTTTTTTGTATGAGCCAGGCATAGTGGTGCACGGCTGTAGTCCCAGCTACTCAGGAGGCTGAGGTGGGAGGATCGCTTGAGCCCAGGAGGTCAAGGCTTCAGTGAGCTATGATCGCACCACGGTACTCCAGCCTGGGAGACAGAGCAAGACCCTGCCCCACCGACCCCCATAAAAGAGAAGAAAACAAAAACTGATTGAGCATCGATTTACCTTGTGCCAGGCAGGTGCTGTGCAAAACCATTTCCTAGATTAAGTAAGTTTTCCTTTTTACAGAGGAGGAAACAGAGGTCCAGAGTGGTAAACTGTTTTGTCCACAGAGCAGTAAAGGGTAGAGCAACTGATCTCCAGGACCCAAACTTGCAGCCCCTCTGTGCTGGCAGTGACTCGCATTTAGCACAGTACCTGGCAGCAGGCAAAGCAGCCCATTCACCAAGGCATGGCGAACAGTCCCTCTGAGTCACACCATTCTGGGTGGTGCACAAAGCAGGTGAGCTCTCACCTACATGGAATGACACTTTCTCTCATATCCTGTGTCCAGTTGTGGGCAAAGCCACAGTCATTGCTCACCTCTTAGTCACACTCAGGGTAAAGAGCAAAGTTCTTTGATTGATAGGTCCCCGCCCACCACCCGCCGCTCCTCTCCTCTCTCTCATCTTCCTCTCTCCTTCCACTCTCTCTGCCCCTGCTTATCTTCAGGTCTTTTTTATTATTTATTATTTATTTATTTATTGAGACAAAGTCTCGCTCTGCCACCCAGGCTGGAGTGCGGTGGTATGATCTTGGCTCACTGCAACCTCCGCCTCCTGGATTCAAGCTATTCTTCTGCCTCAGCCTCTCGAATAGCTGGGATTACAGGTGCCCACCATCAAACCTAGCTCATTTTTGTGTTTTTAGTAGAGATGGGATGTCACTGTGTTGGCCAGTCTGGTCTCGAACTCCTGACCTTATGACCTGCCCGCCTCGACTTCCCAAAGTGCTGGTATTATAGGCGTGAGTCACTGTGCCTGGCTTGTCTTTAGATCTTCTTAATTTTTTATAGAGATGAGGCCTCTCACTCTGTCACCAGACTAGAGTACAGTGATGTAATCACAGCTCACTGCAGCCTGGACCTTTTGGGTTCAAGCAGGGCTCCTGCCTCAGCCTCCTAAATTTTTTAAGCCAAGTGCAGTGGCTCACGCCTGTAATCCCAGCACTTTGGGAGGCTGAGGTGGGCGGATCACTTGAGGTCGGGAGTTCGAGACCAGCCTGACCAATAGGGTGAAACCCCATCTTAAAAAAAATAAATAAAAATAAAAAAGGGCCGGGCGCGGTGGCTCAAGCCTGTAATCCCAGCACTTTGGGAGGCCGAGATAGGTGGATCACGAGGTCAAGAGATCGAGACCATCCTGGTCAACATGGTGAAACCCTGTCTCTACTAAAAATACAAAAAATTAGCTGGGCAGTGGTGGTGCGTGCCTGTAATCCCAGTTACTCAGGAGGCTGAGGCAGGAGAATTGCCTGAACCCAGGAGGCGGAGCCAAGATCGTGCCATTGCACTCCAGCCTGGGTAACAAGAGCGAAACTCTGTCTCCAAAAAAATAAAATAAAAATAAAAATAAAAAGTAAATTTTTTGTAGAGATAGGGTTTCACTATGTTGCCCAAGCTGGTCTCGAATTCCTGAGATCAAGCAATTCTCCTACCTTGGCCTTCCAAAGTATTGGGATTACAGGTATGAACCACTGCATCTAGCCGATTTTTGTATATTTAGTAGAGATGGGGTTTCACCATATCGGCCAGGCTGGTCTCGAACTCCTGACCTTAAGTAATCCACTTGCCTCGGCCTCCCAAAGTGCTGGGATTACAGGTGTGACCCACTGCGCCCAGCTAGTTTGTATTTATTTATTTTCAGATCCTCCTTTAATTTTTTTTTTTTTTTTTTTTTTAATAGAAATAGGGTTTCACCATGTCACCCAGGCTGGTCTCAAACTGCTGAGCTCAAGCCATCCACCCACCTTGGCCTCCAAAGTGCTGGGATTACAGGCATGAGCCACTGCACTGGGCCACCCCCAGGTCTTCAGCTGTGCTGGAGACATAGTAGGGGCCCAATAAATACATGCTGAAAAAGTGAATGTGAAGAAAGGGAACTGGAGATAGTGGCAGGCATGGGCTATGCTGGACGCCAAGCCAGGGAAAGGGGATGGAGCAACGCTGCTCTGGGCTGCCGGCAGCCAAGCCAGGCCCCTCTGAGGAATGTGTACCAGAGTGTACACGGGCATGAGTTTCATGTTCATTACCACGCCCAGGCCTCAGCCACCTGCTCTTAGATGCCCACTCCCTGCAGGTGCAGGCAGCCCAGTTGCTGCGGGTAGGGCTGGGCTGGAGAGGGACACCAAGGACATCTCGCCTCACAGAGGTAGGAGCAGATGGCTCTGACTCCCATTTCTACTCTAGCCTAGGGGAGGGAAAGCGGGGCCCAGCTGGCTGCTCGTTCCTCCGAGAGCTCCCAACAGGGTGAGACAGAGGGGCCAGGCCAAGCCTTGGATTTGAGCTACACTGCCTGGGCTTGATCTATCTATATATATAGCATGAACACACTAGAACTAGACTTCGTTTGTGTATGTGTGCGTGTATTTGAGACAGAGTCTCAACAGGCTGGAGCGCAGTGGTGTAATCTCAGCTCACTGCAACCTCCACCTCCTGGGTTCAAGCAGTTCTCCAACCTGTCTCCCAAGTAGCTGGGATTACAGGTGTGCACCACCATGTCCAGTGAATTTTTGTATTTTTCACTATTTTGGCCAGGCTGGTCTCGAACTCCTGACCTCAAGTGATCTTCCCACCTCAGCCTCCCAAAGTGCTGGGATTACAGCTATGAGCCACTGGGCCCGGCCTGTGTGTGTGTTTTGAGACAGGGTCTTGCTCCGTCACCCAGGCTGGAGTGCAGTGGCACAGTCATGGCTTACTGGAGCCTGGACTTCCCAGGCTCAAGTGATCCTCCTGCCTCAGCCTCCCAAGTAGGTGGGGCTATAGGCGAGCACCACCATGCCTAGCTAAATTTTTTTTTTTTTTTTGAGACAAAGTCTCGCTCTTGTCCCCCAGGCTGGAGTACAATGGCGCGATCTCGGCTCACTGCAACCTCCGCCTCCCGGGTTCAAGCAATTCTCCTGCCTCAGCCTCCTGAGTAGCTGGGATTATGGGCACCTGCCACCATACCCGGCTAATTTTTTTGTATTTTTAGTAGAGACGGGTTTTCACCTTGTTGACCAGGCTGGTCTTGAACTCCTGCCCTCAGGTGATCGCCTCCCCCGCTCTCCGCCCCCCAACAAAGTGCTGGGATTACAGGCAGGAGCCACCGCGCCAAGCCTCCTGGCTAATATTTAATTTTCTCTAGAGACAGTCTTAGTATGTTGCCCAGGCTGATTTCAAACTCGGGCTCAAGTAATCCTCCTGCCTTGGCTTCCTTCCCAAAGTGCTGTGCTTATGGCCATGAACCACGGCACCCAGCCTATGCTCTGTGTTTGTCCCTGGTCGTCTTACCTACTGCCTTAATTTTCTCATCTGTGAAATAGGCATTGGAACAGTACCCACTGCCATAAACTCAGTGTTTGTGTCTTCCCCCAATTCTTGTGCTGAAGCCGAGTGATGGTATTTGGAGGAAGAATCTCTGGGAGGTCATCAGGTGATGCAGTGGAGCCCTCATGAATGGGATTTATGCCCTTATAGAAACAGGCACCAGGCTGGCACAGTGGCTCACACCTGTAATCCCAGCACTTTGGGAAGCTGAGGCAGGTGGATCACAAGGTCAGGAGTTCAAGACCAGCCTGGCCAAGAGGGTGAAACCCCTTGTCTACTAAAAATACAAAAATTAGCTGGGTGCGGTGGCAGGTGCCTGTAACCCGTTACTCGGAAAGCTGAGAACAGGCCTGATTCTACTGAGGAGAATCACCTGAACTCAGGAGGCAGAGGTTGCAGTGAGCTGAGATCGCACAACGGCACTCCAGCCTGGGTGACAGAGCAGGACTCCCGTCTCAAAAAAAAAGGTGGGGGGGTGCATAACACAGAGCTTGCTCTCAGCCATGCTGGGAGGCAGGGAGAAGGCAGCCAACCAGGAACCAGGAAGCAGCCCTCCTGACAAGCAGATTTACCAGCACCCTGATCTCAGACTTCCAGCGTCCAGGACGGTGAGAACTGTTGTTTGCTGTTGAAGCCACCCTGTCTATATTTGTTATAGCAGCCCACACTGACACTTACCTTTTGTGTGTGTGTGTGTGTGTGTGTGTGTGTGTGTGTGTATGTGTGTGTGTGTGTGTTGTGTGTTTGTGTTTTTTTTGAGGTGGAGTCTCACTCTGGAGTGCAGTGGCGCAATCTTGACTCACTGAAACATCTGCCTCTGGGGTTCAAATGATTCTCCTGCTTCAGCCTCTGGAGTAGCTGGGATTACAGGTGCCCACCACCATACCCAGCTAGTTTTTGTCTTTTTAGTAGAAATGGGGTTTCGCCATGTTGGCCAGGCTGGTCTCAAACTCCTGACCTCAGGTGATCCGCCCGCCTCGGTCTCCCAAAGTGCTGGGATTACAGGCGTGAGCCACAGCGCCCGGCCTAAGACACCTACCTTTTGTTTTTTGTTCACTCAGGGTGTGGGTGGGCTTAGTCCAAAAATGGAGTCAGCCGACACCTACCTTTTATTATTATTTTTAAACCCAACACATTATCAGTACTTCATGCCAGACACCATTCTAGGAAATTGACTGATCTGACTCATCAATCCCATGGGGTAGCTGTCATTTACAGATGCTGAGGCAGAGGTAAAGCAACTTTTCCTGAGGTCACTCTGCTGTTAAGTGATACAGCTGGCATCTAGTGCAGCAGGCTGGTTCCAAGCCTACGCCCCTCACCCTTCAGATGCTGCTCACCAAGTGGAGGGGCTGTGGGAGCAAGTTAGAACTTGAGACAGCCCCTGCAGCAGAGGAGGCTGTTTTGTCGAAATACCCGGGAAGGCGGGGCAGCACCTCCCTCTTAACCAGCATCTGAGCTTTGGGGGGAAACCTGCAGCTCCCTGAATGCCACCCACAGAGCCCCCCTCGGTCAGCCTCCCCTCAGGCATCAAGGCTGGGGGGGCAGCAGTCAGCCGTCCATCTCCCCCGCTTCTCACAGAGGAAATGCTGTGTGGTGCCCGCAGTGAATCAGGGCTGAGGACCAGGACAGAAGTTGGGTGGGGCAGCTCAGCATTCCTCCAATGGGCAGGTCTCAGTGCTCCTCCCCCTGCTGTCCTCCTCTGCAGGGCCCTTAGCCTTTGGGACACATCTCTCACTGCCATGGAGTTTGACCTGGGAGCAGGTGAGCTGCTGGGGAGTGTGGATTGGAGGTGCAAGGGGCTGGACTCAAGCCCAGATGCTGCCTGCACCAATCACCCAACTTCTCTTCTCTCCGCAGCCCTGGAGCCCACCTCCCAGAAGCCTGGTGTGGGCGTGGGCCATGGGGGAGACCCCAAGCTCAATCCCCACAAAGTTCAGGGCCCGTCGGAGGCAGGGGGAGATCTGAGTTCAAAGGTAAGTCGCCTCACCGCCAGCTGCGGAGGGGTGGGAAGGGTGGGATTGCCCCTGACCCCAGGGTCTGCCGTGGGCTTCCAACTTCAGGGGATGGGTAGGGGCCCTGCCTCAGTCCTGCCTCACTGCCACACCTCCATCCAGCAAGGCCGCCACAGCTCTTCGGACTCCAGCAGCAGCTCCAGCAACTCGGACACAGATGTGAAGGTAAGGGGCTCTTGCCAGCACCCAAAAACGTGCCCTGCACCCCACAGAAGCATCCCAGCGCTGGGGCCGGGGAAGGGGGTCCCCCAGTCTCACTTCCAGCCCAGAACAATCTCTTCTCTCCCACTCCTGCCCTCGGCCCCACAGCCCCAAGCTGCTGGCTCCAAGCGGCAGGAGAACATGCCGGGCAAGGCCAAGAAGCTCAAAGTGAAGAAGAAGAAGGGCAAGAAGGAGGGGGCTCCCCACTGAAGGGGCCTGGGCGGGGCTCATTAAACCTTCTTCTCTGCCTTCTGCCACTGGTCAGCGTGGTGCCTGCTCAGGCCCATCCCCAGCTCCCTGCCCCCCGCCCCGGGCTGGGCCTGCCGATGCGGGCAGCCAGGCACCCTGCCCATCTGTACACGTGGCTAAGGAGAGGCTGCTCATGACCATCAGGGTTTATTGTTTCTGTAACAGCGGCCACGCCCTGGAGTGGTGGCCTGTGCAGCTGGAGATCTCTCAGCACCTTGGGTTGGGGGCAGGGTTCAGCGGGACTTGGGATGGGGGCAGCGCCTGTACCCAAACAGGGTGGACCCTGGGGCCCGAAGGCGGGAGATGAGTCCGGCAGCCACAGTGGCCCCAGCAGCAGCAGCAGCAGCAGCAGCAGCAGGAGGAGGCTCAGTGAACGCCCTCACCGCACCAGGTGGAAGGTGAGCCAGTACATGAGCAGAGGCTGTGCCGCTGCCACCGCCATGGTCAGGTACATGCGCAGCTGGTTCCGGGCCTCACGGACCGGGACCCCCTCAGCCGCTGCCTCTGCCAAGATCTTCAGCCGCAGAGTCCGGATCTGGGGGGAAGGAAGAAGGGAATCAGGGTTTACCCTTGAGCCCTCTGGGCCAGGGTGAGAGCCTGGACACGCTTCCAGCCTCTGCTTAGAAGCCCCAGGCAGCCGGGGACAAGTCCCTGGCCCTCTGCAGCCTCAGGTTTCTGCTCCCAGGGGCCTCAGTTTCCCCAAACCTCCCAAAAGGTGAGGACTTGCTCCTCCCCAGGCCCTGTGGATAAATTACAAGAAGGTTCCACACTCAAATGCCAGGCAAGGTCTAGGAGCGGGTGAAGGGGGACTTCTTCACGGTGGACGCCTAGCCTGACGGCATGGGAGACACGGCCCTGGCTGCTGTCACCCTCTTATGTTGGCCATATGGCAATTTCTGAAGACACACCAGAATGCTATCTTTATTTTTATTAAAGGGCAGGGTCTCGCCCTATCTGCCAGGCTGGACTGCAGTGGTGTGACCTTGGTTCACTGCAGCCTCAACCTCCCAGACTCAAGTGAGCCTCACACCTCAGCTTCCCGAATAGCTGGGACTACAGGTGCACGCTGCCACCCTTGGCTAATTAAAAAAAAATTTTTAGAGATGGTGTCTCGCTATGTTGCCCAGGCTGATATCAAGCTCCTGGTCTCCAGTGATCCTCCTGCCTCAGCTTCCCAAAGTGCTGGGATTGACTGGGCGTGGTGGCTCATGCCTGTAATCCCAGCACTTTGGGAGGCTGAGGCAGGCAGATCACGAGGACAGGAGTTCAAGACCAGCCTGGCCAACATGGTGAAACCCCATCTCTACTAAAAATACAAAAAGTAGCTAAAAATTAGCTGGGTGTGGTGGCACGTGCCTGTAATCCCAGCTACTCGGCAGGCTGAGGCAGGAGAATTGCTTCAACCTAGGAGGCGGAGGTCGCAGTGAGCTGAGATCATGCCACTGCACTCCAGTATATATTAAAAAAAAAAAGTGCTAGTATCACAGATGTGAGTCACGTGCCTGGCCTAAAGTTTTAAACGATGACACTTAAAAGTTTGTCCGAGAGTCCACCCTGGCCCACCAGCCAACATGGTCTGCCCTCTGCTTCTCACATGCTCACACTGAATCCTCCCAGCACCTTGGGGTGCAAGTATCATCATCCTATTTCACCAACGAGGAAACTGAGTTTAAAGAGAGTAAGTGATTTGTACAGGATCCAACTAAGCTTGGAGTCCAGGCTGGCCTGCAAACCCCATTGCTCTTCACCAGCACCCCTGACTCCAGCTGGAAGGGCTCTAGAGAACCCCCTTCCAGGGAAATTCTGGCAGGAAAGACCCCATGTAAGGAGAGTGGGATGAGAGTGAGAGCCCAGCCTGGAGCCTATGTGCTGTGGATCCCCAGCCTCTAGCAGCCTGGCTGGCGTCTCCTCTTCCAGGGCTCAGGATACCTCCTCTTCTGACCCCTAGGCTGGACAGCCTTCCTGACCCCGCAGGCTGGACAGCCACTCCAGGGCCCCCCAGTTCAGCAACGTGTGTCTGGTCTGAACCCCACACCTGACATCCTCTGCTTGGATGCCCTCCAGGGCACTGGTGCCCTCAGCCTCATCCGCCCTGAGCCCCAGCTCACCATGAACACAAAGATGGACATGCAGCACCAGCCTAGCACCAGGTAGTAGCCAATCTTCCCAAAGAGCAGGCCCATGAGGACCCCGCCGATCATCCTGGGGGAGGGAGAGAAGGCTGTGTGAGGACGAGGCCCAAGGGCTGCGGCTGGCAGGAAGGGCGGGGATACTGACCCGACATATTTGTAGCCCAGGAAGGCCACCAGGTCGATGGTGGTGAGGTCGGTGTTGACAGTGACCAGATAGAGGCTGAGCAGGATGGCCAGCACCTCCAGGGTCAGCCAGGCCAGGGCCGAGCTTGCCTGCAGCCCCAGGAGGTCTGGGGAGAACCTGCAGACAGCAAACCCCGCCACTTGGTTGGCCGGTTCAGACTGCCGACTCCCAGCACACGCCTGGGGACAGCCCTGTGTTGGGTGGGACCGGACCCAGCAGTGACCCAGATGGATCTGGCCACTATCCTATTCCCATGGAAATCCCATCCAGGGAGGATGGCAGACCTCTCCCTAGACAGTAACACCCACAGCGGGCAGGGCTGGAGTCACAGGGGGCTGTGCCTGACACAGTCAGGGGGCAAGTGTCAGGGAGGGCTTCCCAGAAGAGGGGACACAGAGCCAAAGCCTGCAGGAAGGACCTGGTCAGAGACAAAAGCCCTTGGCCTCCGCCACATCCCCAGGGCCTCACCAGTCAGTTAATGACAGATGTGTTCAGTGCCACAAAGGAAGTGAACAGGGCGGTGCGAGCAAGAGGAGAGGCCTGACCTAGCCTGGGGGGCAGGAAGGTTTCCCCGAGGAAGTGACGCCGGAATGGAGTCCATGCTCGGCAGTGGTGGAGGGGAACATGCTCCCAGGCAGAGGGAAGTGGATGTGCCAAGGTCTCAGGAGACAGCGCCAGCCCTCCCAAGGAAAGGAACAGGACCGGAGCATGGCGGGAGGGGCGGCACCGGGCCCAGGAACTGGGGCCTGACCGGGAGCCAGGGACGGCAGGGCGGGGCAGGATGGGCTGTGGCCAGGCCCGCACCTCAGACAGGACCATCCTGACTGCTGCTGGAGTAGGGGTGTAGCGGGGAGCCGGTGAGGACACAGCAAGGTGAGGGCGGGTCTGGTAGTAGAGGCTGAGAGGAAGCGTGGATGGAGAGGGTCACCCAGCACAGGGGGTGGTGACGCAAGGCATGTGGGCAGGAAGGAGAGGGAGGAGCCGAGGGTGATGCTGGTGGCGACCCTGAAGGCTGTATCTTGGGCCACCTGGGAGCAAGGTGGGGCTTTCCCGAGAAGGGAAAAGGGAAACTTGGAACTGAGACTTTCCTGACCAACCACGGGCCTCCCAAACCCCACCCTACTTGGCATGTCCCAGGCCTCCCTTACCTATCCTGGGTCCCCAGCGCAAGACCAGCCACCAAAACGTAGGTGATGAAAGCCATCGCTGTGGGAGGCACACACGTAGACACTGGTCATCAGAGGAAGAACCACCCTCGGTCTCCAGGCACCCACACGCCCACCCCAGACAGGCCCAGAAAATGGATGGGGGTACAGGGGAGGGGGAGGGTGGAACCTGGAATGTAGAGGTCTGGGGCATTGACGTCAAAGCGGGGGGCCACCGGCATGTCCTGTTGGTATTGCACCTCCCAGTCCTGTGGTGATGGGGAATGGGCAGGACCCTCAGAGCCAGGCCCCTCCCACCCTTCCTTGAGGTGAATCTCCAGGCCCCACCCCACACCGGCCCCCACCGGCCCACCGCACACCCACATTCCCCTGGGGGTGCTGACCTGGTGGAGGTAGGGGAAGAACAGCAGGCCCAGCTTTCTGCCCACATACATGGTGTCCACAGCAAAGTAATACTTGAGCTTGGTGACGGGGATGAAGCGGTCGATCTGGGGAGGCAGAGCTCAAACCTGAGGCCCCATGGCCCCATGTGTCCCCCTACTCCCGCCAGCCCTGGCCACTCACGTTTTTATCCACCAGCTCCTTGCCCTGCGCAGCCAGGCTGCTCCCATAGGCCATGGCCATGTTGGACACGGGGTCAGCCAGGAAGGCTGCCTGGGGCGTGGTGGAGGCTGCAGGATAGCCGAGGTCTCCAGGTGCCCGCTGAGCCCCATAGCCCCGGCTCTGGGCTGAACTCGTGTCATCGAAAAGCTGGTGGGGGTCGGCCATGCCCGGCTGGGACGCAGGGATCCTTCGCTTTGAGGCTGCAAGGGAAAAGGGTGGGGAGGCACTGGGGACACAGGATAGGTAAGGGAGACCTGGCAAGCCTCATTCGTCCTGCAGCTCTGCCTCCTGCTCCTGCTGCAGTGGAGGGTGATGTCACCATTAGAGACTGGCTTCAACGTCAGATGGATTGCCAGGTGCAGGCTCTGCCATCCATCCACCCACCCACCCATCTAGCCAACTATCCATCTCCTGATGCATTCATCTATCCATCCACCCATCCATTTATCCCAGGTGTCCCCAGACTTTTTACACAGGGGGCCAGTTCACTGTCCCTCAGACTGCTGGAGGGCCGCCACATCCTGTGCTCCTCTCACTGACCACCAATGAAAGAGGTGCCCCTTCCTGAAGTGCGGCGGGGGGCTGGATAAATGGCCTCAGGGGGCCGCATGCAGCCCGCAGGCTGTAGTTTGGGGACGCCTGATTTATCCACTCACCCATCTATTCATCCATCTATCCACCCACCCATCCATCCATCTGCCCATCCATCTATTCATTAACCTATCCACACTGTCCATCTGTCCATCCACCCACCCACCCACCCATCTAGTTAACTATCCATCTCCTGAAGCATCCATCTATCCATCCATCCACCCACCTATCCATTCATCCATCTTTCCATCTATCCATCCACCCACCCATCCATCCACCAATCCGTCCATCCATCCATTAATCTACCCAAACATCTATCCATCTATCCACCTATCCATCCATCTATTCACCCACCTACTAGCCAACTATCCATCGACTGTATTCATCTATCCATCTACCCATCACCCATCCATCCACCTATCCATCCATCTACCCACCCATCTAGCCAACTGTCCATCCACTGATACATTCATCTATCCAACCATTCATCTACCTACCCATTCATCCATCAATCCATCCATCTACCCATCCACCCACCCATCTGCCCACCCATCCACCCCAAATTTACAGGTGTGGAAACCAAGGCCCAGACAGTTAAAATGACTTGTGCAAAGGGCCAAACTGAGTGAGTGGCAGAGCAGGAGCCCGGCCCCGCTGTGCCTGATAAATATTACAATAATCCTACGGATGAACTAATTTCATTTTCACAACCACCCTGTTTCTGCCAATTGCCAATGCTATCATCACCCCATTTTACAGATCAGAAAAGCAAGCCCTAAAGAGGCTCACGCCCTTGCCCAAAGTCATAGTATGAGGGCCAGGTTTCAAAAGTTTTCAAAAGGTCCCTGTGGCCTCATGTGGGGAACAGATGAGAGGTGGGCAGGGAAGGGAGACAGGAGGCTGCTGGGGTGGTCCAGGTGGGAGACCATGGCAGACAGGACTGGGTTGTAAAAGGGGAATGGGTTATTTCTGGATCAGTTTCAGAGGTAGGAGGGACAGGACTTGCTGGAGGTGTGCTCAGTGGAGGTGTGTTAAGAAGTGGGAGAAGGCTGGGCGCAGTGACTTACGCCTGTAATCCCAGAACCTTGGGAGACCTAGGCAGATAGATCACTTGAGGTCAGGAGTTCGAGACCAGCCTGGTCAACATGGTGAAATCTTGTCTCTACTAAAAATATAAAAAATTACCCGGGCATGGTAGCATGTGCTTGTAATCCCAGCTACTGGGGAGGCTGAGGCAGGAAAATCACTTGAACCCAGGAGGCAGAGGATGCAGTGAGCCAAGATTGCACCACTGCACTCCAGCCTGGGAGACAGAATGGGACTCTGTCTCAAAAAAAAAAAAAAAAAAAAAGGCCGGGCGCGGGGGCTCAAGCCTGTAATCCCAGCACTTTGGGAGGCCGAGGCGGGTGGATCACAAGGTCAAGAGATCGAGACCATCTTGGTCAACATGGTGAAACCCCGTCTCTACTAAAAATACAAAAAAAATAGCTGGGCATGGTGGTGCGTGCCTGTAATCCCAGCTACTCAGGAGGCTGAGGCAGGAGAATTGCCTGAACCCAGGAGGCGGAGGTTGCGGTGAGCCGAGATCGCGCCATTGCATTCCAGCCTGGGTAACAAGAGCGAAACTCCGTCTCAAAAAAAAAAAAAAAAAAAAAGGGAGGAACCAACGCTGTCTCCACAGATTCTGGTTTGAGATGGAGAAGATGGGGAGGCGGGACTTGAACCCCGCACTCTGCCTCCAGGGCCTCTGTTCCTAATCAGTAAGCAATGCTACCCTGCAAATATCTGCTGCGATCCTACTATGTGCTAGGCTCTATTGCAGGCACAACGGAGAACAGGGAATGGGTGGTCAGATGACAGCGGGCATGGGGAGAGGAATCGAATTATCCACGTCATGACTTTGCAACTGGACATTCTCCTCTACACAATGGAGTTAACTGTCCCCCCTTGCAAAGCTGTTGTGATGCTCATAAACTCCTTGGTCCCATAAAAAGCAGTCCATCGCTGTCACTCCTGATCAACTACTAGCCTTGAGCTCTTCCTCTCAATTATTTGTAGCCCGAAGACAGACCCAGGTCTCCCCAAGCAGCACTGGTCCCGGCCTCTCCGAAAGCCCCACTTCCCTTTTCTCTCCCCTGCTACTACTACTACTACTTTTTTTTTTTTTTTGACAGAGTCTCACTCTTGTCTCCCAGGCTGGAGTGCAGTGGCATGATCTCAGCTCACTGCAGCCTCCACCTCCGAGGTTCAAGCGATTTTCCTGCCTCAGCCTCCCAAGTAGCTGGGATTACAGGCGCCGTCCCCGTCCCCCCCCCACCCCATCCAGCCAATTTTTGTATTTTTAGTAGACAGGGTTTCGCCACGTTGGCCAGGCTGGTCTTGAACTCCTGGCCTCAAGTGAACTGCCTGCCTCGGCCTCCCAAAGTGCTGGGATTACAGGTGTGAGCCACTGGGCCCACCCTCTCTCTCCCACTTCTGGCTAGAAGGGCTAGCTTCCTAAAAGCTTTGGTGTGAGCCCTTCGGCCCTCCCTGTCAGTCCCTCAGCTCTTGGCATTCAGGGCTCTGCTCCCACCAGGCCCCCTAAGTGCCCCCCGCTACACTACAAAATTCCACTTGTCTGACTCAAGCCCTCAGTGGCATTTGGTACCAGTGTCCTGAATGCCAACCTCCAACTTTCTGAGTCCAGGACACTTAGGGAGCACTTTCTCTTCTTACTGGTCTGACTCCACAGGCATTTACTGAGCATCTCCCTCTGTGTTAGGCTCTGCCATGGGCAAGGTGGATATAGCAATGAATAAAAACCCCAAACCTGGCCAGGTGCGGTGGCTCACGCCTGTAATCCCATCACTTTGGGAGTCTGAAGCAGGTGGATCACCTGAAGTCAGGAGTTCAAGACCAGCCTGACCAACATGATGAAGCCCTGTCTCTACTAAAAATATAAAAATTTGCTGGGTATGGTGGGATATGCTTGTGATCCCACCTACTCAGGAGGCTGAGACAGGAGAAGTGCTTGAACTCAGGAGGCGGAGGTTGCAGTGAGCTGAGATCATGCCATTGCACTCCAGCTTGGGTGACAGAGCAGGATTCCATCTCAAATAAAACAAAACAAAACAAAACAAAAACCCCTGCCTTCATGGAGCTGATGGTCTCTCGATGGCTCCTTCCCATTCAACCATGCATTCCTAGCTTCCTAAAATGTGCGACTTCATTTTCCACCCTTGCCCTTGTCCTCTGTCTCTCACCCAGGGCCACCACACCCACACCCCAGCTCTCCCAGCTGCAGTGTGCGTTTAGCTTCTGGGCTGTGTCTCTAGGCACCACTTGTCTCCTGGCTCCAGATGCAGGTCTGGCCACTTCCTGGCACTCCCTCTGGCTGACCCGGGGCCCTAACCTCCATGCCCAAACCCTGATTACCCTTCTGCCTGACATCCAATCAACCAGTCAGGTGCTCGCTCACCATGTCTCCACGTCACCCTCCCGTCTCAGACTGCCATCTCACGCCTGACCTAAGTGTCCTACCTGGTCCTTCTGTCCATTCTCACTACCAACAGCCTCTCCAATGGGCAGCCAGAGTGATCTTATTATTTTTGCTTTTTGAGACAGAGTCTCACTGTTTGCCCAGGCTGGAGTGCAGTGGTGTGATCACAGCTCATTGCAACCTTGAATGCCTCAGCCGCCCCAGTAGCTGGGATTACTGGCGCATGCCACCACGCCTGGCTAATTTTTTGTCTTTTTACTAGAGACAGGGCTTCACCATGTTGGCCAGGCTGGTTGGCTGGGCATGGTGGCTCACGCCTGTAACCCCAGCACTTTGGGAGGCTGAGGCAGGTGGATCACCCTTTTTTGAGACAAAGTCTTCCCTTGTCCCTCAGGCTGGTGTGATTTCGGCTCACTGCAACCTGTCTCCCAGGTTCAAGTGATTCTAAAGCCTCAGCCTCCTAAGTAGCTGGGAATACAGGCGCATGCCACCACGCCCGGCTAATTTTTTGTATTTTTAGTAGAGATGGGATTTCACTATGTTACCCAGGCTGGTCTTGAACTCCTGGCCCCAAGTGATCACCCACCTTGACTTCCCAAAATGCTAGGATCACAGGTGTAAGCCACTGCACCCAGCCTGCTTTTCTCTCCCACCATAAATCTCTTTCCCCTCGGTAACTCTTCATCATCAGAAGCTTCACTGACACCCTAGGCTGGGTCACATGCCTCCTTGGCTCCCACATCTCCATCCTAGCCCCGACCCCTTCCTGGGCTTCCCTCATCCCAGCGAAGACCCCTCTGCCTGGGCCTCCCTCATCCCAGCGAAGACCCCTCTGCCTGGGCCTCCCTCATCCCAGCCCGAACCCTCTGCCTGGGCCACTCTCACAGCAGCTCCACCACTGGAACCTGCTGCTGTTTTCGGTCCTGGCAGCTCCATGAGGACAGGGACAGGGGCTGTCTGGGCACTGCTGTAGCCCCCCACATCACCACCACAGGGCCAGCCAGGCATGGAGTGATGGCTGAAGGGAGGAATAGCAAAGCACACCTTGCTTTACAGAGAGGCCTCCCCAACCCCCAGTCACATCCTGGATCCTTCCCTTTACAGCCTTTACTAATCCCCCAATTACCTTTTTTGAAAAATTTTTAAATTTAATTTTGTTTTCAGAGAGAGGGTCTTCCTATTGCCCAGGCTGGAGTGCAGTGGCTATTCACAGGCACGATCCCACTACTGATCAGCACAGGAGTTTTGATCTGCACCGTTTCCGACCTGGGCTGGCTCACCCCTCCTTAGGCAAGCTGGTGGTCGGTCCCCTGTTCCCGGGAGGTCACCATATTGATGCTGAACTTACTGCGGACACACGATAGGCATAGCACTACAGCCCAGAACTCCTGGACTCAAGCAATCCTCCAGCCTTAGCCTCCCAAGTAGCTGGGACTACAGGCACGCACCACCGTGCCCGGCTTTTTTTCTTTCTTTCTTTTTTTTTTTTTTTGAGATGGAATTTCGCTCTTGTTACCCTGGCTGGAGTGCAATGGCCCGATCTCGGCTCACCGCAACCTCCGCCTCCTGGGTTCAGGCAGTTCTCCTGCCTCAGCCTCCTGAGTAGCTGGGATTACAGGCACGTGCCACCATGCCCAGCTAATTTTTTGTATTTTTAGTAGAGACGGGGTTTCACCATGTTGACCAGGATGGTCTCGATCTCTCGACCTCGTGATACACCCACCTCGGCCTCCCAAAGTGCTGGGATTACAGGCTTGAGCCACCGTGCCCAGCCTTTTTTTTTTTTTTTTTTTTTTGAGATGGAGTCTCACTCTTGCCCAGGCTGGAGTGTTATCACGCCATCTTGGCTTACTGCAACCTCCATCTTCCGGGTTCAAGCGATTCTTCTGCCTCAGCCTCCCGTGTAGCTGGGATTACAGGCGCCCGACACCACACCCGGCTAATTTTGTATTTTTAGTAGACACGGGGTTTCACCATGTTGCCCGGGTGGTCTCGAACTCCTGGTCTCAAGAGATCCACCCGCTTCGGCCTCCCAAAGTGTTGGGATTACAGGCGTGAGCCACTGCGCCCGGCCCCCACAATTAACTTGTTGACTAGTTTCCTTGTAGTTAAGCATCTCTCTTCCCTTCAAACTCTGAGCTGTAAAGTTGCAAGGACCAGGGCTATGCTGGTTACTACTGTGCCCATACCCATATTCCAGCGCAGGGCCTGGCACATGGGAGCTGAAGCAAGTTAGGCTGAATGAATACATGAAACACACAGCACTTACGGACGTGAAGAGCGTAAACAGACAAATTCGGAGGCAGGAAAAGGGGCCTACAGCACAATAAATACAGGTTCGCTTCTTAAATGAGCGGTGGGCATGGCCCTCTGCGCTCACAGGGGGCCAAGAAGCTGCCCTAAGATTGTGGGCGGCAGCAGGAGGGCATTGGGAAGCCACGGAAAGCTGGGGAGCAGGGGAGGGCGGATCGCTAACTGCAAATGAATGGAAGTTGTATTTCTCTGCATATCGCACTCTTTCCTGTCCCAAGTTGTTTTCTTCTAAAGGAATTTCCTAGAGAATCGCCCCCCAAAGCGCCCCCTACCCGGACCTGGCATCCCAGCGCTGCGCACACCTCGGGGTTCCAGATCCTTGATCTCGTGACCTCTGACCTGCAGTGCCCTCGCCAACCGCCGCGGCCGTCCCGCCACGCCCCCGCCCGCCCGCGCGCCCCCCGATTTCCTCCGCCGGCCACGTACGCCACTTACGCAGCCGGGGCGTCCCCGCCGCCGCCGCCAAGCCTGCCGGGTGCATCCTTCGCCGCCGCCGCCGCCGCCTCAGCCACAGTTCGCAACGTGCCCACCCGGCTCCCGTACCCGTGCCCCGCCGGCGAAGCGACAGCCAATGGATGTCAGGATTGCGGGAAGGCCACGCCCTCCCACGGAGGCCTGGGCGAGTGGGCGGTGCCTTACGTAAGAGGCGGAGATTGGGCTCGTGTCTTAAAGCGAGTCGGGACCTGAGTGGCAGAAAGGCGGGGCCGGGAAGAATTCCAGGAGGAGGCGGTGTCTGCCACGTTAGAAAATTAGTGTCTGCCCGGTGCGGGGGCTCTTCCCAGCACTTTGAGAGGCCGAGGCGGGAGGACTGCTTGAGCCAAGGGGTTCGAGACCAATCTAGGCAACATAGTAAGCTCTCCCCGCCCCATCCCTACAATTTTTTTTTTTTTTTGAGATGGAGTCTCGCTCTGTTGCCTGGCTGGAGTGCAGTGGCGCGATCTCAGCTCACTGCAACCTCCGCCTCCCGGGTTCCAGCGAGTCTCCTCTCGCAGCTTCCCAAGTAGCTGGGACTACAGGTGCGCGTCACGACGCCCAGCTAAGTTTTGTATTTTTAGTAGAGATGGGGTTTCCCCTTCTTGGCCAGGATGGTCTTGATCGATCTCTCTCTCTCTCTCTCTCTCTCTCTCTCTCTCTCTCTTTCTTTTTCAGAGAAGGGGGTTTCTCCATGTCGGCCAGGCTGGTCTTGAACTCCCGACCTCAGGTGATCCGCCTGCCTCGGCCTCCCAAAATGCTGGAATTACAGGCGTGAGCCACTGTGCCTAGCACCCATTTTTTGTTTTGTTTTGTTTTTTTGTTTTTTAATTTAGCCAGCCATGGTGGCTTACGCCTGTAATTTCAGCACTTTGGAAGGCCGAGGATCGCTTGAGCCTAGAAGTCTGAGACCAGCCTGGGCACCATAGTGAGATCTCCATCACTACAAAACATTTTCTTTTCTTTTCTTTCTTTCTTTCTTTTTTTTAAAATATATATATTTATACATATAAATACAGGGTTTCTCCGTGTTGGTCAAGCTAGTCTCAAACTCCCGACCTCAGGTGATCCGCCTGCCTCAGCATCCCAAAGTGCTGGGATTACAGGTGTGAGCCACCATGACCAGCCACTACAAAACATTTTTTAAAATGTAAGTATTGAGCGAAAAGTTTGATGGAAAATGGAGTGCTCTGCAGGCAGGTGTTCAATTTGGGTTGCTGAGAGCACTAGAGAGCCAGAGAAGGCTGTGGAGCAAGGGAAGAGAGAAACATTTGTGCTCCTGAGGGGCTAATTGGAGTTGTGGGGGCTTATACAATTGTTTGACAGCCCTTACATATTAAAGTGCACATTTATTTGTTTTGAGACAGGGTCTTGCTCTGTTTCCTAGGGTACCTTGGACCCCCTGGGCTCAAGTGATCCTCCTGCCTCCCCAGTAGCTGGGACCACAGGCATACACCACCATGCTCAGCTAATTTTTTATTTTTTTTTTAATTTTTTTTTTTTTTTTTGTCAAGCCAGGATCTTGCTATGTTGCCCAGGCTGGTCTCGAATTGCTGGGCTCAAGCCATCGTCCAGCTTCAGCCTCCTAAAGTGTTAGGATTACAGGCATGAGCCACAGTGCCCAGACTTGAAGTGAATATTTAGAGAAAAGGAAACCCAACAAGTTAGGTGAGAAGGACCAGGTGCCTCTCTTGGAAGAAATCTTAAGGCAGTTTTCCAGAACTTCATAAAAATGTTCTTACATTGCAACCTGGTTCCCTCTGTCCACCAAAGGCATTCTACAGCCCCCAGCAGCTCACAGCACACAGGCGCACCTGCATGTGGACCAAGCGTCTTTCGTCGCTCCTCTCTGCCCCTCAGTCTCCCCCTTTTTCTCTCTCTCAGACTCCCCGGCTTATCTCAGGAAAACACAGTGGTGGAATTGACTTCTTCGCAATGATAGCACATCCGGAAGGATGTCAGCAAGTGACCCTATCGCTGTGGCTTCCCCTTCCTCCTCTGAGACATTGTCTTTTTCGGGACTTTAAGAGCTGCTCCTGGATTCTCAGTGATGAGTCCTGTCTCTGTTGTGGTTCTTTTCTGTGAGTGAAATGCCCTCATTCTTCTTCACCTCTGATTTCGCCTCTGTCTCCTGGGCTCCAACACCATCTTCTCCTCATCCTCAGCCCTCTCTATTGCTCTAGTTGCTCTAGATACATCTCTTCTGTGAATATATTTTTTCTTTTTTTTTTTTTTGTTTTGTTTTGTTTTGTTTTGTTTTGAGACGGAGTTTCGCTCTTGTTACCCAGGCTGGAGTGCAATGGCGCGATCTCGGCTCACCGCAACCTCCGCCTCCTGGGTTCAGGCAATTCTCCTGCCTCAGCCTCCTGAGTAGCTGGGATTACAGGCACGAGCCACCATGCCCAGCTAATTTTTTGTATTTTTAGTAGAGACGGAGTTTCACCTTGTTGACCAAGATGGTCTCGATCTCCTGACCTTGTGATCCACCCGCCTCGGCCTCCCAAAGTGCTGGGATTACAGGCTTGAGCCACCGCGCCCGGCCCTATTTTTTCTTTTTCTTTTTCTCTTCTTTTCTTTTTTTTTTTGAGACAGAATCTCCTGTCACCAGGCTGGAGTACAGTGGAGTGATCTTGGCTCACTGCAACCTCCGCCTCCGAGGTTTAAGTGATCCTCCTGCCTCAGCCTCCTGAGTAGCTGGGACTTCAGGTATGCACCACCACGCCCAGCTAATGTTTGTATTTTTAGTAGAGATGGGGTTTCCCCATGTTGGCCAGGATGGTCTTGATCTCTTGACCTTGTGATCTGCCCGTCTCAGCCTCCCAAAGTGCTGGGATTACAGGTGTGAGCCATTGCACCTGGCCTTTTAATATTTTTCTTTTTGCTTTTTTCGGTGCGGGGGCGGGGTAATGAAGTCTTGCTCTGTCACCCAGGCTGGAGTGCAGCGGCATGAACTCAGCTCATTGCAACCTCCGCCTCCCAGGTTCAAGCGATTCTCCTGCCTCAGCCTCCCAAGTAGGTGGGATTACAGGCACGTGACACCACGCCCAGCTAATTTTTGTGTTTTTAGTAGAGATGGGGGTTTCTCCATGTTGGCCAGGGTGGTCCTGAACTCCTAACCTCAGTTGATCCACCTGCCCCCCAAAGTGTTGGAATTACAGGCATGAGCCACCGTGCCTGGTCCTATTATTTCTTAATTTTCAAGACACGGTCTTGCTCTGTCACCCAGGCTGGAGTGCAGTGGCAGGATCATGGCTGGCTGCAGCCTTGATTTCCCAGGCTCGAGTGATCCTCCCACCTCAGCCTCTGGAGTAGCTGGGACTACAAACATGTGCCACCACACCTGGCTAATTTTTGTATTTTTTTTTTTTTTTAGAGATAAGGTCTTGCCGTGTTCCACAGGCTGACCTTGAACTCCTGGGCTTAGTGATCCACCTGCCTCAGCCTCCCAAAGCACTAAGATTACAGGCGTGAGCCACTGCACCCAGCCTTATTATTTATTTATTTATATTAATAAAGCAAGTACTGCCAGGTGCAGCAGCTCACGCCTGTAATTCCAGCACTTTGGGAGGCCAAGGTGGGCAGATCATCTGAGGTCAGGAGTTCCAGACTAGCTTGACCAATATGGTGAAACCTTGTCTGTACTTAAAATACAACAATTAGCTGGGTGTTGTGGCAGGCGCCTGTAATTCCAGCTCCTCAAAAGGCTGAGGCAGGAGAATCACTTGAACCTAGGAGGCAGAGGTTGCAGTGAGCCGTGCCATTGGACTCCAGCCTGGGCGAGAAAGAGACTCTGTCTCAAAAAAAAAAAAAAAGCAAGTTCTTGGGCTTCCTGCTGGCCTCACGGTCACCCCTTACCAGTTGTGTGACTACTACTTTTTATTTGGGGGGGCAGGGTCTCTGTCACCCAAGCCAGAGTGCAGTTGTGGGATCATAGCTCATAGCAGCCTCTAATTCCTGGGCTCAAGCAATCATCCCGCCTCAGCTTCCCCAGAAGCTGAGACTAGAAGCGCACACTACCACACTTGGCTAATTTTTGTATTTTTTTCTAGAGATGGGGTTTTGCAATGTTGCTCAAACTGGTCTCAAACGACTACTTCATTTTTTTTTTTTTTTTTTTTTGAGACGGAGTCTTACTCTGTTGCCCAGGCTGGAGTGCAGTGGTACAATCTCAGCACATTGCAAACTCCGCCTCCTGTGTTCAAGCGATTCTCCTGCCTCAGCCTCCTGAGTAGCTGGGATTATAGGCATGCATCACCACACCTGGCTAATTTTTGTATTTTTTTTTTCTTTTTTGAGACAGAGTTTTGCTCTTTCGGCAGGCTGGAGTACAGTAGCATGATCTCAGTTCACTGCAGCCTCTGCCTCCCGGGTTCAAGCAGTTGTCCTGCCTCAGCCCCCGAAGTAGCTGGGACTACAGGCGTGCCACCACCCCAGCTAATTGTTGTATTCTTAGTAGAGATGGGTTTCACCATGTTGGCCAGGATGGTCTCGAACTCTTGATCGCGTAATCTGCCTGCCTCGGCCTCCCAAAGTGCTAGGATTACAGGCATGAGCCACCACACCTGGCCACAACGACTTCATTTTTAAGCCTAAACTTTCATCTGTTGAATGGGAATTATATGGGGGCATTGAGAATTCAGGGCAAGTTTTCAGGTGTCCACAGAGCCTGACAGAAGGTAAGCCTCGAATCGTGGGCACCTGCTGTGTCACTGGTTTTATTAGGTGTCTCTGCTTATGGATTGCTAGCCCCAAGTTGGGCTCTTCTCCATGATCTGCCAACTTTTTAATAGAACCAGCTGGGGCATGTCTGAGCTGAGCCCCAAGCCCCAGAAGTCAGATGTGGTCAGGACTCTGGCTGCCCTCCAGAAGGATGCCAGGAAGGCACTGAGTTCTGGCTGGAGGCAGAAGTGGAGAGACTTACAGGAGATGCAGAAGGAAAAACATCCTCTTACATAAAGGCAGATATTCATGATTCTGCCTGGCTTGTTTCCATTCATTCTTCACACTTCAGCTCAGCTAGCCCCTTCTTCAGGAGGCTCTCTTGACCTCCCTAGCAGACTTGGTCCCCTCCTCTGGACTCCCAGAGCCCTATAGGGCTCCCTCATTCCAGCCTTGATCACTGTGCTTCCTTCATCACAGCCTGACCACTCTGGGCTGGCTTTTTTCTTGTTTTTAGAGATGGGGTCTCATGCTTTCTCCCAGGCATGGCTCACCGCAGCCTCGAACTCCCGGGCTCAAGCAATCCTCTGACCTCAGCCTCCCGAGTAGCTAGGACAACAGGCGTGGGTCACTGTATTGTGTCAGCCTCCCCGTTAGACTGGAGCCCCATGAATGCGTGGCACAGGACAGTCTCATTACTGCGTCGCCAGGAACACCCAGCGAGGGGTCGACACGAAGTGAGCATTGAACAAATATTTGGTGAGTAGCTCAGGATCCCCACTCTGTCCACGTGGGCACAGGGGACACCTGACCCTTCGGTGCCCGCTGTTCCCACTCCAAGGCACACGACTTGGCGAATGGAGAGGGAATTGGATTGCAGTTTGCCCCTTGGTCCGTCAGCCTTAGCTGCTGTGTGCGATGTGGGGCGACTCCTCGGCCTGCGAGCAGAGATGAGAGTTCAGATTTCTCTAACACAGGGAACCATCAGCTGGGCAGCCTTCCAGGAGGACGCGAAGGAAGGAATGAGGGGAAGAGAGTACTACCTCCACCCGTTCCAACCCGTTGGTCTCCCGGGTCTGGAAGCACTGGGCTCCACCCTCTCCGAACTAACACCTGGCGGTTGGGCGTGCCTCAGTTTCCCGGAGGCGGGGCGTTCCTCCGTCGCCGCCCCCCCCCCGCCCCCGCCGCCCCTTTTTCCTCTTCCTCTTGGGGCATCTACGGCCGCGCCTCTAGCCCTCCCGGAACTGAAACTAGGCGCCAGACGGTCCGGAGGCAGGGGCCACGTCAGCGGGGCCACCCCGGGCTCGCGGGGTCCCGGCGGGCGCCATGCGGAGGGGTGCGCTCCTGGCGGGCGCCCTGGCCGCCTACACCGCGTACCTGGTGCTGGGCGCGCTGCTGGTGGCGCGGCTGGAGGGGCCGCACGAAGCCCGGCTCCGAGCCGAGCTGGGGACGCTGCGGGCGCAGCTGCTGCAGCGCAGCCCGTGTGTGGCGGCCCCGGCCCTGGACGCCTTCGTGGAGCGGGTGCTGGCGGCCGGACGGCTGGGGCGCGTCGTGCTCGCCAACGCTTCGGGGTCAGCCAACGCCTCGGACCCCGCCTGGGACTTCGCCTCTGCTCTCTTCTTCGCCAGCACGCTGGTCACCACCGTGGGTACGTAAGCACCGCCCCGCAAGGCGACGAGGAAACCCAGATCCCCACTTCACCCCTGCCCCCTGGGATCCCCGGAGTCCTCATGAATTCCCTTACCCCAACCCCCTCCGGGCCTCGGATCCCCTGAAAACCCCCCAGTGAGGACCCGGGACCCACGCTCATGATACCCACCCCTCTCGAGGAGCCGGGTCCAAGCTCTTCCTCCTAAGCAGGAGACATCCAGCTCCCCTCAGAGTACCTTTGCAGAGAGCAGCAGGGACCCCGGTCCTCGGTCTTTTTTCTTTTTCTTTTTTTGAGGCAGGACTCACTCTGTCGCCCAGGCTGGAGTGCAGTGGCACGATCTCGGCTCACTGCAGCCTCTGTCTCCCGGGTTCAAGAGTTTTCTCATGCCTCAGCGTCCTGAGTAGCTGGGATTACAGGCACATGCCACCATGCTTGGCTAATTTTTGTATCTTTAGTAGAGATGTGGTTTCACCACGTTGGCCAGGCTGGTCTCAAACCCCTGACCTCAGGTGATCCGCTTCCCTCCCCCTCCAAAGTACTGGGATTATGGGCATGAGCCACTGCGCTGGGACTCCATTCCTCGGTCTTAATCCCCCTGGTGACCTGGGTCTGTCCAGTCCCCTCTAAGCCTAGGACTGTCCTCAGAGACCTCCAGCAAAGACCCAGGACTCTCCACCCTTCAAGGGAGATCCTTGTCGCCTCTGGACCCAGACCTCAACCATGCCAGGACCCCTGCCCTTATCTCTAGGCTGCACCTGCCACCCTTGCAATGTTTCCTGACCCTCCAGATATGCCCTTCTGAGAAAACCCCCTGGAGAAACCCCATCTCAACCTCCTCCTGACCCTGGTGCCCCAGCGAGGACCCTGAATATCCAGACCTCTCAGGGTGCCCTCACCAAAGACCTCCCTCCTGGCAGAGATTCCTCAATGAGAACCTGGCTCCCCATCCAGGACTCCTGACCCTCTGGACCTAGACCTCTGCTGCAGACCCTCGTCCCTCTCCTGGCCCCATACTCCCCAGTAGGCCACTCTGACCCCAGACACAAAACCCATCCCTAGGTACCCCACCCCATCTTGACATCTCCCCTGTATGGGGTCACCCTCAGTGCAGGGTTTTCCTCCTGACAGGGACACCACCTGTTCCCTCTAGACCTGGGACACCCAATTCGGCAGCCCCAACTAGGGATGTGTCAAAAGGACCCACCATGGAGGGGGCCTGAGCCCCTGGGAAACCCTGGGGAGCCAGACTTGGGGAATCTCTTTGTTGCCAGGCTCTGCTGCTACCCCAGCCCCTTCTCAGCCCCCAGACTTCCTCTTTCTTTGTTGTGGATTTGCTGGGGAGAGGAGGCTGGCGCAGGGCCAGCCCAGACTCCCAACTCGGGGCAGCGGCTGCAGAGCTGGGTGACTTCTCATTCGCTGACCTCCCCTGGGGCTTGCCCACGCTGCCAGGGCGTCCCGACCTGCTTCTGGGCTTCCCTGGGTCATGTGTGCGCTTCCTGCCTCTTCCCAGATCCTGGCTTCTGAGAAGTCATCCCTGAGGGCCGGTGAGGGAAGCCAGACACACATCAAACACAGCCTGGCAGCATCCCTGCTCAGCTGCTGCAGCTCATTGCCAGGCCTCGGCGTCCTCCCCCATTGATAGAATGGAGATAATAACACTCCCCACTTCTCTGTAATAGCAACAGTCTGACAGAGGACTTGCCAATGCATGCTTTTTTTTTTTTTTTTTTTGAGAGGGAGTCTCACTCTGCGGCCCAGGCTGTAGTGCAGCGGCGTGAACTTGGCTCACTGCAACCTCTGCCTCCCTGGTTCAAGTGATTTTCCTGCCTCAGCCTCCCTAGTAGCTGGGATTACCCACGTGCCACCACACCCAGCTAACTTTGTATTTTCAGTAGAGACAGCGTTTCACTATGTTAGCCAGGATGGTCTCGATTTCCTGACCTTGTGATCTGCCTGCCTTGGCCTCCCAAAGCTCTGGGATTACAGGCATGAGCCACCGCGCCCCGCCACCAATGCCTGCTTTAACTCAATCATCACCACAGCCTTGTGAGGCCGGCACCTTCATTGGCTCTGTGTTTTTAGCAATGGTAACCGAGGCCCAGAGAAGTTGAGTAACTTTCCCAAGGTCACACAGCAAAGATGGCATAGAGTGGAGATTTAGCCAAGGCCATCAGGCTCTAGAGTCTGATACTGTTAGCCAACACACCGCACTACTTAGAAGAAGGTTGCTGTGTGCATTGTAAAAGAAAAAAAAATATTCTAACACTTGTTAAAAATGGAAAGTTATTGTGGTAGAGGAGAGACCATTGCAAAGGGCAGAGAGACTGAGCTCAACTCTGAATATAGCAAAGACAGCTGGAGATTGATGGCTAACAAGTAGAGTAAGGGAGTCAGTGGATAGAGGAATAGTAAGAAGAGAGACATTTGGGTAGGGAGATTCTTGCTAAAGACTGGCCAAGGACTTAGATATCAAGAAGGGTGGATGAAGGCCAGGTGCACTGCTTCACACCTGCGATCCCAGCACTTTGGGAAGCCGAGGTGGGCAGATAATCTGAGGTTAGGAGTTCAAGACATGCCTGGCCAACATGATGAAACCCCATCTCTACTAAAAATACAAAAATCAGCTGAGCATTGTGGCAGGCACCTGTAATTCCAGCTACTTGGGAGGTTGGGGCAGGAGAATTACTTGAAACTGGGAGGCAAAGGTTGCAGTGAGCTGAGATCGTGCCACTGCACTCCAGCCTGGGCAACAGAGCAAAACTCTGTCTCAAAAAACAAATAGTCCAGGTGAGGTGGCTCACGCCTGTAATCCTAGCACTTTGGGAGGCCAGGGCAGGTGGATCTCCTGAGGTTAGGAGTTCAAGACCATCCTGGCCAACATGGCAAAACCCCCTGTCTCTACTAAAAATACAAAAATTAGCTGGGCGTGGTGGTGCGTGCTTGTAATCCCAGGTACGCAGAGGCTGAGGCAGGAGAATTGCTTGATCTAGGAGGCGGAGGTGGCAGTGAGCTGAGATCTTGCCACTGCAGTCCAGACTGGGCATTAGAGCAAGACTCTCTTAAAGAAAAGAAAACCAAAAAAAAAAAAAAAAAAAAGTGGATGAGGAATTTGATCAGATATCAGGGCGGGTGACTTGTAGGATTCTTGCTAAAACTAGGCCTACTTAAGAATGGGACTCAGGAGTCAGGCTGAAGCGTGGTCATGGAGGGAGTCTGTCGGTGTGAAGCCCTGGTAATAACTGATGTTTACTGAGTTCATGTTGAGTGTTTTCATTATGGGTGGAGCCTTGATTGCATCTGGAGAAAACCAATGAAACATGACTCAGAGAGCCCTCTTCCCACAATGCCCCTCGTTTGGTCCTAGGCCCAAGTCTTGGCCCTGGAATTGACCCTGGCAAGCCTTGCTGCACTTGAGGCAGGAGGAGGCGGGTGGTCCTACCCGGAACTGGGAGTTGGAGGGAGGAAGGGAGCGTTAGAATCCTTGCAACTCTTCCTACACTCTTGCTAGGCGCCATGCCCTATCCCAGCCTGGCAGGATTACTACCGCATTTGAGGAAGGGATTGTTTGTTGCGTTTTTTTTTGAGGCAGGGTCTCACTCTGTCACCCAGGCTAGAGTGCCATGATGCAATCATAGCTCACTGTAGTCTGGACCTCCTGGGCTGAAGTGATCCTCCCACCTCATCCTCCCGAGTAGTTGGAACCACAGGTGCACACCACTGCACCCAGCTTATTTATTTATTTATTAGAGACAGAGTTTTATTCTTGTTGCCCAGGCTGGAGTGCAATGACACAATCCCGGCCCACCGCAACCTCTGCCTCCCAGGTTCAAGCGATTTTCCTGCTTCAGCCTCCAAAGTAGCTGAGATTACAGGCATGCACCACCACGCCTGGCTAATTTTGTATTTTTAGTAGAGACGGGGTTTCACCATGTTGGTCAGGCTGGTCTCAAACTCCCAACCTCAGGTGATCTGCCCACATCAGCCTCCCAAAGTGCTGGGATAACAGGAGTGAGCCACCGCGCCTGACCGATTTTTTAATTTTTTTTTTAATTTTTTTTTTTTGTAGAAATGTGAGTGGGTGCCCTATGTTGGCCAGGCTGGTCTTGAACTCCTCCTAGGTGCAAGTGGTTCTCCTGCCTCGGCCTCCCAAAGTGCTGGGGTTGCAGGTGTGAGCCACCTTGCCCAGCCAGGAAGGGATTGTTTACCAGCCCATTTTTGTAGAGTAGGGAACTGAGGCTCAGAAGGGAGGAGTCATTTGGCCAAAGTCATGCAGGGAGTAGACGGCAAAACGCTGTTTTGGACTCAGCTCTTTGAAATAGTTGAGGCTCACAGGCCCCATGCTTTTCAAACTCCATGATTTGTCTATTTATAAATACTCCCCTTTAAACATTTTTTTTAAATAGAGACGGGGTCTTGCTATGTTGCTCAGGCTGGTGTCGAACTCCTGAGCCCAAGCAATCCTCCCACCTTGGCCTCCCAAAGTGCTGGGATTACGGGAATGAGCCACCTCACCCACCCTATTTACAAGGATTTCATGTCATTTGCAAACGTGCCAGGCTGCTGGAGTTTCCCCATCAAAAAGCCTTGTATTACTGAGGGTTGTAGTCATAAGTGATACACCTCAAATTATAGTTGCTTAAATGAGATAGGAGTTTATTTCTTGTTCACATTCCAGGTAGTCAATCCAAGTGGTACTGCATGGTCAGAGACCCAGGCTCCTCAGCAAGACCCTGGCGTTCCTCACTCTGTTGAGAAATGTTAAGTTTACCCTGCCCCTATGATTCTCTTGAGGAAGACATTTTTAAGTTTGTAATTACTGGTAGGCGAGTAACAGCTGCCTACCTGCTATATTCCTCAGTTGTGTATATGTAGAGCACCTGTGTAACAAAAAGAATCACCTGTCAAAGAGCAAATAGGTGGATGAATCTCTGCTCCCGGCCTTCAGTCTGGAGAGCTGTCAGCCCTGCAGGCTCTCAGGCTGTTGGTCCCCAGATAGATCCACTCTGTTGTACTATCTGGGTGTCTGCCTCTTAGTACCGTCAGCCCGCCTGGGTGGTGGTGGGGGGGTCTCCCGACTGAGCTGGTTCTCGGTATAACTCCTCTGTACAACTTCCATTCCCAAGACCACCTAATGGTCCAAGATGGCTGTGCTGCAGCCAGCAAGAGGAGGGAGGAAAGGAAGAAGGCAGACTGGCATCTCCCCCTCCTTAAGAACCTTTCCTGGAAGTTGCTTGACTCTTTTTTTTTTTTTTGAAATGGAGTCTCACTCTGTCGTCAGGCTGGAGTACAGTGGCCTGATCTCAGCTCACTGCAACCTCCACCTCCCAGGTTCAAGCGATTCTCCTGCCTCAGCCTCTCCAGTAGCTGGGATTACAGGTGCGCACCACCACACCCAGCTAATTTTTTCATATTTTTAGTAGAGATGGGGTTTCATTATGTTGGCCAGGATGGTCTCAATCTTCTGACCTCCTGATCCACTCGCCCTAGCATCCAAGAGTGCTGAGATTACAGGCGTCAGCCACCAAGCCTGGCCACTTGACTCTTTCATGAATACCTCCTTGGCCACAGATTAGTCACAGAGCCACACTTGGCTGAGGCTGGAGGATTGCTTGAGCCCAGGAGTTCTGGGCTGTAGTGCGCTATGCCAATCGGGTGTCCACACTAAGTTCAGCATCAATATGGTGACCTCCCAGGAGCAGGGAACCACCAGGTTGCCTAAGGAGGGGTGAACCGGCCCAGGTCGGAAACGGAGCAGGTCAAAACTCCCATGCTGATCAGTAGTGGGATTGCACCTGTGAATAGCCACTGCACTCCAGCCTGGGTCACAGAGTGAGACCCCACCTCTAAAATGATTTCCCCTTCACTCCCTTGACTCCCCTAGGCTATGGGTACACGACGCCACTGACTGATGCGGGCAAGGCCTTCTCCATCGCCTTCGCGCTCCTGGGCGTCCCGACCACCATGCTGCTGCTGACCGCCTCGGCCCAGCGCTTGTCGCTGCTGCTGACTCACGCGCCGCTGTCTTGGCTGAGCATGCGCTGGGGCTGGGACCCCCGGCGGGCAGCCTGCTGGCACTTGGTGGCCCTGCTGGGGGTCGTGGTGACCGTCTGCTTTCTGGTGCCCGCGGTGATCTTCGCCCACCTCGAGGAGGCCTGGAGTTTCCTGGATGCCTTCTACTTCTGCTTCATCTCTCTATCCACCATCGGCCTGGGCGACTACGTGCCCGGAGAGGCACCCGGCCAGCCCTACCGGGCACTCTACAAGGTGCTGGTCACAGGTGAGCTGGGCGGCTGAGGGTGGGGCTTTGAGGAGGACCTAGCCCTGCCCCTGGGGGAGTTAAAAGCGCATAGTCCCACTCTGGGACTTCCTTTTGTTTTTTGAGAGGGAGTTTTGCTTGTTGCCCAGTCTGGACTGCAATGGTGCGATCTTGGCTCACTGCAACCTCCTGGGTTCAAGCGATTCTCCGAGTAGCCGGGATTACAGGCGTGTACCACCATGCCCAGCTAATTTCGTATTTTTAGTAGAGACGGGGTTTCTCCGTGTTGGCCAGGCTGGTCTCAAACTCCCAACCTAGGTGATCCGCCCACCTCAGCCCCCTAAAACGCTGGGATTACAGGCATGAGCCACCGCACCCAGCTCACTCTGGGACTTCCTAAAGGGATCCAACTCCACCCTGGGGGGTCCAGTAGAACCGTAGCCCCTACAGGAAGATCTGAGCCACAGGGTGACCACCGCCCCTCCTCCGCCTCTGCAGTCTACCTCTTCCTGGGCCTGGTGGCCATGGTGCTGGTGCTGCAGACCTTCCGCCACGTGTCCGACCTCCACGGCCTCACGGAGCTCATCCTGCTGCCCGCTCCATGCCCTGCCAACTTCAGTGAGGATGAAGACGACCGGGTGGACATCCTGGGCCCCCCGCCGGCGATGCACCAGCAACTCTCTGCCAGCTCCCACACCGACTATGCCTCCATCCCCAGGTAGCAGGGGCAGGCTCTGCCAGGCATGGGTGTGCCTGGCCTGGAACTGAGAGGCCCGGGTGACCAGAGCTGGCTGTACGGGAATGTCCATGAGCACACGCAGGTGATCCCAAGGCCTTGCCGCCCACCATCCCTTTGTTTCCCAGCATCCGGCTGTGATGTGGGGCCGGCACTCCCTGTGCCTGTGTCCCAGGCTCTGCTGGCGCCGACGTGACCTTGCTCTCCGTCCTTGCTCTCATCCTCCTTACACTGTGCCTCTGACTCGCTGGCCTTCTCGCTGTCTGTCTATCCCTCTTGCTGTCTGTTCCTCACTCTCTTCCATGTTCCATCTGTGTCTCTCAATTAGTCACTCATCAGTTGCGTTCTACTAGGCTCTGGGCTCGGACCTCATTTCAGGCACCAGATCTGTCACTACATCCTGGACAAGTGACTGCCCCTCTCTGAGCCTTGATTTCCTCAGCTGACAAATGGGAAGGATAGATGAACTCATCCCTGAACCCCTCCTGTGTGCTGGCCCTGTGCTAGACAGTGCTGGGGACATAGTTGGGGGTGGGGACCTGCTCTCATGGAGCTCACAGTCCAGTGAGGTGGACAGGCCTGTCCCCAGACAGTGATGGCCCCACATGGGCAGGATTTAATGGAGGAGGTGAGGTGATGAAAACACAGCCAGAGTGGTCAGGGCTGAAGTCTGAGAAGCACAGGAACTAGGCCCAGTCGAGCTTGGAAGGTCAGGGAGGACTTCCTGGAGGAAGTGACGGTTGAACTAATACCTGAAATATGAAAAGTAGGCAGGAAGAAGTCGGCCCTGAGTCATTTTTCTCAGGCGTCTCCAGGGAGCAGGACCCATGGAGGGAGCCCTGGTGGTGTAGACAGAATCTTCCTCAGCAGCCTGGAAGGCAGGAAACTGACACAGGACGCCAGCCCAGATCTGAATGGTGTGGGAGGTGCTGCCCTTAGCCATGACACCATTGTAAGAGCTGTCCCCTTTTGTATGTTGTGCCCTGGAGTCAGCCTGCTTGAGCTCAAATCCCAATCTAGCGAGTCTGGCCTGTGACCTTAGGCTGTCACTCTACCTCTCTGCTTTTGTTTCCTTCTCTGTAAAATGCTGATCATCATAATACAACTTCAAAAGATGAGTTCAGGCTGAGTGTGGCGGCTCATGCCTGTATGCCCAGCACTTTGGAAGGCTGAGGAAGGAGGATCACTTGAGGCCAGGAGTTTGAGACTAGCCTGGGCAACAGAGTGAGACCTTATCTCAACCACAGTGAAATCTAAAAATTAGCTGGGTATGGTGGTACACACCTGTGATCCCAGCTACTCCAGAGGCTGAGGTGGAAGGATCACTTGGGCCCAGGAGTTTGAGGCTGCAATGAGCTATGATGGCACTGTTGCACTCCAGCCTGGGGACAGAGCCAGACCCTGTCTCTTAAAAAAGAAAGAAAGAGGACAGGTACAGTGCCTTATGCCTGTAATCCCAGCACCTTGGGAGGGCCACAGTGGGAAGATCGCTTGAGGCCAGGAGTTTGAGACCAGCCTGGCCAACATAGCTAGACCCCATCTCTACGAAAATAAAAATTGAAGAAAGGGATGGGGCATTTGAGCCGGGTCCCAACAGCAGACAAGTAGAAAAGGCATGGAGAGGCATGCCAGGTGGGAGGAGCTGTGTGCAAAGGCCTGTAGATGGGAAAGCATGCTGGCCACCAGCTTCCGGCAAGCAGTTTACTGTGACCGGAGTATGGAGGGAAAGGGAGAAGAAGGGCATAGGGGTGGGCGTGAGCACCTCTGAGTGTCCTTAAATGATAAGCATGGGAACCTAGTCTCTTTCCTGAGAGCCCTAGAGAGCCATGGAAGGGTTTAGAATAGGAGAGGGTCATGGTTAGGTTTGGGTTTTAGGATGATCCCCCTAGTTGCTGTGTAGAGGTGGCACAGAGAGGGAGACTGAGGCTGGGTGCCTAGGGGAGGCTGGGGCAGGAACCAAGAGGTAGACAATGGGCTTGGGCTGAGCCGTGAAAGGCAGGTGTGGGGACACTCAGGAGCCAAGTGGACAGGCCACAGGCCTCAAACTGGAGGGACGTGGCCAGGAAAGGGCCTTTGGAGTGGCCAGTTATCTCTGTGATGGGGACTTGGGAGAAAGAGCAGGTTTTAGCAGAGTCATTGATGCTGGTTTAGAATATGATGATGTGAGGGGCAAAAGGGACACCCAGGGGGGTATCAAGAGGTCATGGGGGGCAGGCCCGGGCTCATGCCTATAATCCCAGCAGTTTGGGAGGCCGAGGCAGGTAGATCACCTGAGGTCAGGAGTTCGAGACCAGCCTGGCTAACATGGTGAAACCCCGTCTAAAAATACAAAAATTAGCCAGGCGTGGTGGCACATGCCTGTAGTCCCAGCTACTTGGGAGACTGAGGCAGAGAATTGCTTGAACCTGGGAGATGGAGGCTGCAGTGAGCCAAGATCATGCTACTATACTCCAGCCTGGGTGAGTCAGAGACTCTGTCTCAAAATAAATAAGGAAGGAGGATTGCTTGAGCCTAGGAGTTTGAGACCAGCATGAGCAACATGAAATACAAAAATTAGCTGGGCATGATGGTGTGTACCTGTGGTCCCAGCTACTCAGGAGGCTGAGGTGGGAGAATCGCTTGAGCCCAGGAGGTCGAGGCTGCAGTGAGCTGTGACTGCACCACTGTACTCCAGCCTGGGTGACACAGCGAGACCCTGTCTCAAAAAAAGAAAAAGAAAAAATACTCATATTGGATATACTATGTGCCAGGCACGATTCTAAGTCCTCAATACAATCTCTACATTTGACAGATGAGGAAAAGGAGGTCCAGAGACGTTAAATACTCGCCCAAGGTCACACAGAAAGTACAACATCGGGATTCGAACAAGGTTTTGGTTGGGCGTCTTTTCCTGTGGGAGCTCAGAAGTACCTGTTGTCTAGCCCTTTCTCAGCCTCCCAACCTCCTTGGCTCCTTTTTGACTTTGAGCTAAAGCCAGCTCGGGGCAGCTAGGTGCCTGTGGGATCTGGCATTCATTTCACACTATTTCTCCTTCCAAATACCTCTAGGGAAGAAAGTCTTTTTCAGTTCAAGACATTAAAAAGGCCAGGAGCAGTGGTTCATGCCTGTAATCCCAACACTTTGGGAGGCTGAGGCAGGAAGATTGCTTGAGCCCAGCAGTTGGAGACCAGCAATGACATGTTAACATAAGAAGGCCCCTCTATAAAAAAATGTTAAAAATGAGCTGGGTGTGGTGGCACACATCTGTAGTCTCAGTTACTCGGGAGGCTGAGGCAGGAGGATCACTTAGCCTAGGAGGTTAAGGCTGCAGTGAGCCATGATCACACCATTGCACTCCAGCCTACGCTACAGACCAAGACCCTGTCTCAGGATAAAAAAAAAAAGTGCATGCTAAAAAATTCAACAGTCTTTCTCTTACCCTCAGACCATGGATGGATGTCTTGGGTCTCCTTCCAGGCACATTCCATGTAGGTATCAACCACACACGTGTGTGTCATTTATTTCTCACTCTATACAAGTGGCACCTAATATGGTGAGGTGGTTATGATTACAGACTCGAGAGGCAGAGTTCCTGGGTATAAATCTGAATTCTGTCACTCCCAAGCTAAGTGGCTCTGGGCAAGTGATTTCACCTTCCTGTGCCTCAGTTGGCTAGTCTGTACAATGGGATAGTAACAGCATCTACCTCAAGGACTTGAGAATTCAGCAACTTCACACCTGTAAAGCCCTTAGAGCAAGCAGTGTGTAGCACTCAATAAAATGTTGACTAATTATGATTCTTGCTTCTGTACTTTGCTTTTCTGTACCAATTATAAATATTGATATTTTATTATCACTTTTCTATTATTCTTATTTCTGTACCTTGCTTTTTTCAACAATACAGTGTAATGCAGAGATAATTCCAGAGACACACAATAAGTCTTTTTTTTTTTCCTTTTTTTTTTGAGACCAAGTCTCTCTCTGTTGCCCAGACTGGAGTACAGTGGCATGATGTATGCTCACTGCAACCTCCACCTCCAGAGTTCAAGCGATTCTCCTGCCTCGGCCTCCTGAGTAGCTAGGATTACAGGTGCTCACCACCATGCCCAGCTAATTTTTGTATTTTATTAGAGACAGGGTTTCACCATGTTGGCCAGGCTGGTCTTGAACTCTTGACCTCAAGTGATCGGACCGCCTCGGCCTCCCAAAGTGCTGGGATTACAGGCCTGAGCCACCACGCCTGGCCACAGTAGGTCTTATATCTTACAGTTCCTCCTCTAGGACATGCCCCATAAATCATTTCAGCATCTTCTGTTGATGAATATGTGGATATTTTCCAGTCTTTTGCTGGTACAACAATGCTGCAGCAAACATCTTGCACTTCAAGATCTAACAAAGGGATTGAGTGAGCCAGGAGTTCGAGACCACCCTGGGCAACATAGCAAGACCCTCCCTATACAAAAAATTTAAAAATTAGCCATGTGTGGTGGCACACACCAGCTACTTGGAGGCTGCAGCAGGAGGATCACTTGAGCCCAGGTGTTGGGACTTGCTTGGACAACATGTGAGACCCCATCTCTGCTGGGGATGTCATTAGCTGGATTACATGCCTGTTATCCCAACACCGGGGAGGCCAAGATGGGTAGGAAGATCGCTTAAGGCCAGGAATTTTAGACCAACCTGGTCAAAATTGTGAGATCTCATCTATATTAAAAAAATAAATAAATAAATAAAAGATGAAAAAAGGTCAGTGCAATGATGAATGACTGTAATCCCAGCACTTTGGGAGGCCAAGGCAGATGGATTACAAGGTCAGGAGTTCAAGACCAGCCTGACCAATATGACAAAACCCTGTCTCTACTAAAAATACAAAAATTAGCTGGGCATGGTGGCGCATGCCTGTAGTCCCAACTGCTAGGGAGGCTGAGGCAGGAGAATTGCTTGAACCCGGGAGGCAGAGGTTGCAGTGAACCGAGATCACGCCACTGCACTCCAGCCTCGGTGACAGAGAGAGACTCTGTCTCAAAATAATAAACGAATGAATGAATAGCTCCAGTACATGGTGACTGAGTTTATTCCTTTAGAAGTCATCACTGTTCCCTGGCCTGTGGGGCTGGGCTGGGGTGGGACAGATAGACCACCATCATCTATTCATTTACATAAAACAACTATTATGTGTGGTGCCTGGCAGGGCTGGGGGACAACATAGGCAGAAAGCCACACACCCTGCCCTCATGGAGCTTGTGATCCAGTTGAAAAGAAAGCCTCATTTCCAACTAGGAGTGAGTGGCCTAGAGGGGCCAAGAGGTGAGATGAGGGCTGGTCACGTATCACGGAAAAGACCTAAAGGAAGGAAAGTGGTGGGCCTTGTTAAAAAGTAGGGAATAGGGCTGGGTGCAGTGGCTCATACCTGTAATCCCAGCACTTTGGGAGGCCGGGGTGAGGGGGGCGCAGATCACAAGGTCAGGAGTTCGAGACCCACCTGGCCGACATGGTGAAACCCTGTCTCTACTAAATATACAAAAATTAGGGGGCCATGGTTGTGGGCACCTATTCAGGAGGCTGAAGCAGGACAATCACTCGAACCAGGAGGTGGAGGTTGCAGTGAGCTGAGATCACACCACTGCACTCCATCCTGGGTGACGGAATGAGACTACGTCTCAAAAAAAAAAAAAAAAAAAAAAAGGATGGAATAATATTCCAGAGGGCATTACTGAGCCTGCACAGGTCTGGAGTGTGCACAGGTCATGCCTGATGAAAGATATTCACATCGGTCCATGGGCTGTAGACCACAGAGGTCTATGGGGGTGAGGGCAGATGAGCCAGACAGAATGACAGGAGGAGAGTATGAGGGCTTTGGAAGTTTTCCTGAGGGCCTAGAGCAGGCGTCCCCAGACTTTTTACACAGGGGGCCAGTTCACTGTCCCTCAGACCGTTGGAGGGCCGCCACATACTGTGCTCCTCTCACCACCAATGAAAGAGGTGCCCCTTCCTGAAGTGCGGCGGGGGGCCGGATAAATGGCCTCAGGGGGCCGCAGTTTGGCGATGCCTGGCCTAGAGGGTCATGGAAGGTTCTAGTGCACTGGTTCTCAAGGTATGGTCTCCAGACTATTAGTACCAGCATCATGTAGGAAC